TCGAGACGTTTCTCTCAGCGTTCAGAAATATAGAAAATAACCATTCATCTATTTTTCAAAATGTTTCACCATCAGACTCATAATCGCAAACGAGAAAAGCATGCCCAGCACGCAGCATCTGGCAAAAGCCTGAAAAACATTTTTCAAGACCAGGAACGAACGGCAACGCTGGAAAGATATTGTTGGTACTGAATGGCCGAGAATAAGCCACAAGCAAACACACAAAAAAAGGAGCCAGCTCAAGATTGCCACAACTTTCGCAACGACTGTGCATAGAACCCGTTGCATTGCCTCGCATCTTGCCCTAGGCAAGTAACATCAAGATGAGACCATGAACATTCGTGGACGGACTGCAACAGTTCCGGCAGTTGATTATAACAGTCTCAGCACATTCCGAAGTTTCATTTGTATTTCCTTTCCCTCAAACGGCGACGCTCATATGTCCTGATGCAAATAATTATTTCAACAATTCAGCGTTACAGTATGCATGCATCGTAAAACGAACGTCTTAGTTTCTCCCGGTGACGTTGGGTGATTTTGTGTCGCTCGTTTGGCCCAGTTTGAGTAAAATACAGCGAATGGTTTGTTTAAGCCGCTAATTTTATTTAATGCGTCATATTTTTCCGCGTGAAGCTGCTCATACATAGTCACTTCGCGACTATAATTTAACCTCGTGCCAAAATAATCTTATTTTGCGCATAAAAATTTACTTTATTTAGCGTACAACAAATCAAACGTGGTTAAACATAAAAGATAAATCTCGCCTAGAAATTCTTAATTGTTCTGACTAGCGGAAACCATTTTCGGATTCGCGTTTTATCTTCAAGTAAAAAAAATAGTCCGTCTTTCCCATTCTTTTTGCACCCCAGCTAACCCATCCACAGCAATTTTTCATCTCTCTTACTGTTCTGAATCCTGTACTAGACATCAATTCTACTATTCCTCTTTTGCTTTTTCGATTACCAAAGAGTCACTGAAGAAATCCAGAGGCGGTTCAGCACCGAAGTGGCTTCAAAAAAGTTAGTGGAGGATTCATCGCAAATGAATTGAATGAAACTACCGTATAGTACTGAATTTTCAATAGCACATCCAACTTTTTCTCACTTAGCTTATTTCTAGAATAATCATACGCATGAATAAAGTCCGCGAACAAATGATGTTAATATTGTAAAACACGTGATAGGAATGATCAAATGAGACCATCCCTTACTTCATATATTTTTTTTTAGCATTCTGGAGTTTATATTTTAAACTTGAGAATTCCAAGGAACCAAGAGTGGTGCTCAAGATCTTCATCAGTGTTTCTCATTTATCCGAGAATAAATCAATAAATCTCAATCAGCAACATTGCAACGCAAATTCTCAAGAGACGTTTCCATTGAGGCGCTGAAATTTTAAAACTTTTCTTTCATTTAATCTTGCTCATTTGGAATGTCAGCAACTGAACGAAAAAAATTGCGAAATGATTTCGATAAGAAAAGAAAAAATCAAAAAGGAATAGTGCCTAGTACAGTGGTATCTCGTTAAAAGGAATCTCGACACAAAGAATTAATGCTTACAACGAAGCCTTTCTGTGGCCCTTGTCTCATAGCCACACTGTTTCAGTACTATATTTTAATTTGGTTTCAACGAATTTTCTTCCATAACGAAGCCTTTCTTAGGTCCCAAATGCATCTTGTAACGAGATTCTACTCTATTTCTGTCTGAAGAGGATCAATAGAATAGAACTAGCTTGACGACAGCCCATCGACCAAAGATTTTCCAATGATTTCTCTCGCCAGTACTCGTTTACTGTACAAGTCTTCCACAATACCATACTATCATTTCCCTCGAATTCTCTCACGAAAGCAATAATCATTGCGAAAGGTGCACTGGATCCTTGGACATGATTAAATCTCCAGGTGAATCAGAAATGAGCCGCAACATCGTAGCCGGTAATTTAATTGGTCGACTGATGCTTCGACCGGGAGAGCAGGTTCCTTTTTCCATTTAGAAATCCCGTCAGCTGCTGATTGTATGATGCTCGTTATACGAATAAGCAGAAAAATAAATTGATTCAAAATAAATACATGGTTAGGAATACTAACCAAAACGTACTTTAAAATAGTTAGAGCCTGACTGAGAAGAACTATTCGAGCAAAAATAAAAGGAATTAAATAAAAATGGGACTGTCTAAATTGAGGTCGTATTACCTCAGTCTGAGCACATGGAGCAATGCTTCTAAACATTTTTGACGAATCTTTCAAAAAAAATTTTCCCCGCAATCGATTCGACTGACTCATTAGAAAATCGAAAAAAAGCGTTAATTCCAAGCAATCCATCATTTTGATTGCCTGACGGAATGATGTCATCAGTGTGACTTGAAAAAAAAAAAATTCGTGGTACGTAAACGTCTTGAAAATGGAGCGATAAAAATGTTTTTATGAGCTTACACCTCGTCGACATGATTGAAGATTCCTGTGAAGAATTTTGTTCAGCAGTTATCTGGACTTTACGACCCATCACTATACAGTAGACGGTTTTTAAAGCTGAAAAAAAAATTTGAAATTACTGACAGACACGTTGATAACATCGTGACGCACCTTCCGAATGAAAGGAAGCCCATTTCGCCGTGGAAAAATATTTTTCACGCGATACTAACGCACTTCAAATTTCCCACAGTATGTCAGTGAATCACAGGCATTGATTATAGTAATTTTGCTGCGGCCTCAGTTTAAAAATCAAGCAACGCTCACGAATTCTCAGAGTATCTGACGCAACTAAGAAAAAAGGTATTTGCGACAGTCCGCAAGGGAAAACGCAACAAATTGCTCATTTTTAACGCCCTTCGCAATATTGAGAAGCTCCTATAAGCCATACTTCGAAAATTTATGAAAATGTTCAAGGCAGTCTATAACTTACAAGAGTATCACAAGATCAAACCACAAAAAACGAAAAATACAATAAAAATAAAAAAGAACGCAAAAAGGCAAGCAGCAAAAGAAAACTTTTAAAACGCATGTACAGAAAAAAAAACTTAATTATCACCAGTTACGCATGGATTGATAGAAAAATTGAAAAAATCAGCAATTCAAAGATAAACTCACTAACGTACTATTATTTGCTCACTATAAACATAGCTGCACGGTTTTCAAAAATTAATAAACGGTGTGCAAAAAATTGCGCTTGCACGTGCACCTAATTCTTCATAATTGATTTTTGCAATGCAAAAAGAATAAATTTGTTAAAATTCAACTTTTGCAACGAGTGAAAGATTTCGAAACCTTTTCCTGGTGAACAAAGGGTAGTTAACCTAATCTCGTATTGTGATGCACTATCTTTACAGGAACTCCAGCTTTCAGCTTTCTAAATCTTTGAGTTCTTAATAGATGTTCCAGTCATTCTGTTTTATTTTTTTTTTTTTTTTGCCTCGCGAATAACAATCACCATTTTCATGCAGGATTTTTATTGTTTCCACCAACATAAGGCCCACTTTTAGTCCATCCTAATCTAAGATGTCCAATTAGCTTGAAGAGGTACTTTTTCGCAGATTACCACATTTCAGCAGCAATTCGATCAGTTCCGAAAGCTGATGAATCACCTGCTCACCCCTCGCTTTCCACATGGTACTTCTCGACTATCTTGCAAGCTTTGGTAACAGTGACCAACTCATTAATCACTGGAACTTTGCTTTTTCAAAGATTTATGTTTCACTCGTGCCATTCACTACGACATAACGTCTGGAGAATCCTATTTCGAGACATTTTCACGGAACACTTTTGCCAGGAGATATATTTCGGAGGACCAAATGTAAACGCAAAATTCAAACATTTTATGGGAAAACTTCGGGATACGGTGTTCGTCCCATTTTATACAGGGCGCAGGAGTTCCCAAGTACATTTGCAATTATTTGATGACACACAGCAGCAGCTTCATGGACACATGAGTATTTTTATTTCAAAGCACATGCAGGGGAGAGGAATTCGTTGATTAAAATTTATTGGCAATGATTCTCATTTCACTTGAAAAATTCCACGAGATAACTCACAGAAATACAAGAAATGGCCGGGTGAATTTTCTGGAATATCCGCATAAATTTCACGAAAAAAAAGATAAAAGTGAAAATGTCATGCGTCACGTGATTCATAAGGCATCTCATGAGATTGAAATTAGCTCCAATTTCTGCAGAATTTCTTCATTTTCGAACATGAAAATTAGCTGAAACAAGTCTGTGCAATCGGGAACCCAGAATTAGAAAACAACGGACAATTTAAGGGCGTACAAATTTTGTTTTCCATTGAACGGATTTTTTAAGGCTTGAAGCAAATGCCGAAACATATTCCTGCTTTTGGACAAGTTTTAAATAATTTATAGAACCCATAATCAAACATACAATCTTCAACAAACAAAATATTAATTCCAGTATTTTTAAATTTAATATCAGAGCTATTTCGAATTCAGGTGCAAAACCTGCCAAAAGTTAGTAAATACTGAAAGAAGTGGTACTAAATAACTGTCTCAACTGCTAGTAGGTTAATAGCTAACTTAAAAACTGCTCTTAAAGCTTAAGGTGAAGGTTTAATTGAGCAAAAATAAGCACTTTTTACTCGAGATTCAAATAAAAACGATGCAGCACGACAGCAAGAAATTTTTTGTTCGTACTTCGAAGTAGCGTGACATCCATGTGAATAAAAAACTTATAGAAATTCGGAAATGCTAGACAATTGGTGATAGTGATCAAGAACAACAGCCAGGGAGTCATTCTTCAATCAAAGGTCAGCAGTCCCTTTTATTCTTCGATCTCCATAGCTTTTCTACACTACGTCAGAGTCGCGGGAAAACTTCGTTTGTTTTTCAGTCGACTTGACGAGAGGAAAATGTCAGCAATGCTGAGCTCGCAAACAAAACAAAAAATCCACGGCAGCAAAAAAAAAGAAAAAAAAGCAGAGAGTATAGATGGACGAAAAATAGAAATGAGGGGGAAAAGGAAAGCCAAAGGAGAACCTGGATCCCTGGGGTGAAGCAGCTGATCAGTCCATATTTTACATCGACACCGACTTCATCCGAAGGAATAGGATCGTCGACTGCTTGCATAGATCTGAAAATTCAAAATATTTTTTTTTTTCTCGCGTCGGCGGGCCCTTGACACATTGTTCCTCGTCCACTCCTCAAACAACGTTCTTTCTCAACATCAGAACAAAACATATTCTCCTCCATATACTGGAAAGGTTTTTTTCTTAGTTCCATGGCTCTCGACTCAGCTGAGGACATTGATTCGGTGCCAAATCTACAGTTGTAAAAGACTTTGCTCGCTCTTTTTTTTTCTGGCTTTTCTCCCTCTCTTTGTGTAGCAGGTGTTCACAAGCTTTTCTACGTCCGAAAGATGCCCTCCGAGGTGAGTTCAGTACACTTTTTTCCCCTTTCAAGACGATCCACGTGCAACACAAAGTTTAATACATCCGACAATGTTCTGAATTTTGAAAGATTTCCGCATTTGTTTCTGAAATCTGTAGTGTCTCCTCCTAAGGTAAAATTTACAGGATTTTCTTGCATAAACCTTTAGGAAACCTATTTCATTGAAAAAAACATTTTGAGTAGAATTTGCAGTGGGCATGAGACTCTTCGACTGCTTTGAAAATGAAAATGCCAGCACTAATTCCGGGGAAAATGGCAGATACATTTTGAGGTATATAAAACATTGACGACAACGAGTTTGCTGATGGTATGACAACTCCTTAGGCTTTCTTTCTTAGGCAAAAATGAGTAATATTATTAAAAACTTTGATGAGACTCGATTTCTTTTTTAAATTTTGCATTAAAAAATCGTGTCTCTTTTGGATAAGACGTCTTAAACTTGTTTATATGCACCTATGAAAATATTCGAGTTCTAAGAATAATGAGCAATAGCGTATTAAAAACGTTCTCATTATCTTCATTCACCGGTTTATGATACATTTTTTCGATTAAAAAAGGCGATTCACCCGCTACTATAAATAAAAAATTAAGAGGAATATGTTCATCGTTTAATAAAATGTGATTCTAAAATTTGCAACAAGGAAACGTAGAATATCGTAGAATAATCCCGGAGTCTGGATAACACGAAATTTTCGAAAGGAAAGTTAGGTTTTTTTTAATTTTCTCAAGCGAAAGTGAACCAATGCAATCAGTGAATCATGCCACATCCAAGCGACATAAATTTTTTTGCACGAGAAAAACCGGAGTCAAACACAGTACTGTCATGTATTGAAAAACTTTTTTACACTCGATGCGCAGCTGGAGTACATTTTAGCAGAGCACTCTCCGTCCTCTTTTTTTTACATTCAGTAACATAAATAATTCATGATGACGCTTCATAAACTTAATCAAATGAATACAGAACTCCCCTTTCATATTAGGAATCCGAAAGAAAGAATCCGTTTTTACTCATTATAATAATTTTTGAAACTACTCTGAGCTAAAGAAAAAATTTAAAACGTAATTTTTTAGCACAGAGAAAACCTATTCTGCAGAATTTGAACAAACTATGCACCTATGAAAATATTCGAGTTCTAAGAATAATGAGCAATAACGTATTAAAAACGTCATCATTATCTTCATTCACCGGTTTAGGAGACATTTTTCGATTAAAAAAGGCGATTCACCCGCTACTATAAATAAAAAATGAAAAGGAATATGTTCATCCGTTTAATTAAATTTTGATTCTAAAATTTTCAACAAGGAAACGTAGAATATCGTAGAATAATCCCGGAGTCTGGATAACACGAAATTTTCGAAAGGAAAGATAGGTTTTTTTAATTTTCTCAAGCGAAAGTGAACCAATGCAATCAGTGAATCATGCCACATCCAAGCGACATAAATTTTTTTGCACGAGAAAAACCGGAGTCAAACACAGTACTGTCATGGATTGAAAACTTTTTACACTCGATGCACGCGTCGACCTCATGTAAAATCGTCTCGTGAGAGGCAGGAGAAAAAAAATGTAAGTCATTGTATTTATTAAGTACTACTGCGAAGTATTTGAATTAGTTTACTTATGTCTTGAGGGGAAAGTATAATCTACACACATTTTTTATTTTTATTCATTAGGAGTAGTAATGACTTTTCCGTTTGCAGGTTGAAATGGCAGGTTTTATGCACTATAAGCACAGTGATGGAATATTTTAAAAGTAATTCAAAAACAACTCTCAAGCGTATCCACTTTAGACAAGAACACGTGGGCTCTCTCGTGTCCACAACGAAATTCTCTCTACAGCGAATTTTTTTTCGGTCCCTTGAATCTTGTTGTAGAGGGAATTCACTTGTATTCTCAGAGCCAAAAAATCAGCAGTTCATTTCAATTATTATCAAGAATTCTCTGCAGCTGGCCCACATTCGTATTTTTGAGTTAAGAATAAAATCGGAGCCTAAATGACAACACAAACAAACGGGCGACTGAAATACTGGTGCAGCCCTTTTTTTTTTCCTAATTTACTGACCAGGGACTGAGGGTGCTGTTGACCTCAATTGCCTTCGGCCTCACTTGTGACGTATCCAAGTCAGCAGTATTCAGCAATGACCTGTTTGGTTGGTCAGCCCAACAAGCAGCTTTGTACAACCCACGCAGAAGTAGGGAACATTTGGTGGAACTTGGTGACAATAAGCCAGGACTCAAGAGAGCCATCGTACCAGAAGTGGTCTCTCTCAATGTTGAGGAATTCTCGGGTTCAAAGGGACTCAATGACATTCAGAAAAGCTCCAAAAATAAAAGGAAGCATCAGCATGCCTACCACAAGTCAAACTTGCGGAAACACTCAGCAAGAGGGACTAACAGCAAAGGCTCTGGGGTTCCTGATTATGCAAAGCAATGCAGGTTGCAGTGGTGAGTGGTCCTTAGTCTTTATAAAGAAGCTTCGTTAACTAAGTTAAAGGAATTTATGTTTAAAAGGTGATTTAAACGGTAGAAAAAGGTGGTTTGACTACAATTTTGTAGTCAACAAAGTTTATCAGTTTTTTTTTCAACACCAAACTGATTTTAAAACATCAGTTTGCTTGGACTGTAATTCCCCCCAAGACTGAATTTATGTTGGATCGGATTAAGTAAGGAGTACTAATCTTCGGCGTTCTAAGAGAACGCGTTGATATTCAAGATTTGAATATCGATGCACATGATGCCAACGAATCATAAGCAATTGACACTGGGTTAGACAAGATTCGTGACTAAAGAGACAAATACGGTATAACCCTTTTCATGGGGAAAATTTTTTTTCGTGGTTCAGATTCTGTATCACTGAACAGCTTTAATATGAAATTGATGTGGACAGAATGTGGCATTTTACACAATTAGCAAAATCTGAATTACTACAGGTGGACTCTTTCTACAACGAAATTCGAAGGATCGGAATAAAATCCGTTGTAGAGAAAATTTCCTTGTAGAGCGAGTCCAACTATAGTTACTCAGATTTTGCTAATTATGTAAAAGGTCACATGCTGTCTCTCAGTCACCTGCATCTGTTCATCAACATAAAATCTGAACCCTACTAACATGGCTAGAGAACCCTATTGACTGAAAGAATTCGTTATAACCAGTACAGAGAAAATCGGTGTAGACAAGATCGTTCTAGGAAGAGTCCATCTGAATCAGGAAAGCCATCAAATTTGTTGATATGATATTGATGATCAATCTGATCTTTAAAAATGAAAGATACTTCAGTCATTCGGTCACTCCTCACTGCTGCAATAATTTATCATAGCGTAAATTAACAAAAACTTATTCTGATGCTTGTGCTGCTGGGGATTTAATTCACACTAAAATAGTTCAAAAATCGTCGCGTACTTCAGAAAATTAAGCATGAAGAATGAAAAGAAAAATGAGGTTATGTCTTCTGCAGATACTGGAGAGACTTTCAAAAATTGGTGGAGAAGGAGAACAGAGAAGATAAAAAGGGTTAGTCACCACTCACCAGGAATCAGAAATATTTCTTCGAAGCAATTGATTCAATTTCCTTAAATACAAATTTTCCACTAAATTTGCCATCTTTTTCCACCAAACTGATGTTAAAACATCAGTTGTTTCAACATCAGTTTTTTTTTTCCAACACCAAACTGATTTTAAAACATCAGTTTGCTTGGACTGTAATTCCCCCAAGACTGAATTTATGTTGTATCGGATTAAGTAAGGAGTACTAATCTTACGTGTTCTAAGAGAACGCGTTGATATTCAAGATTTGAATATCGATGCACATGATGCCAACGAATCATAAGCAATTGACACTGGGTTAGACAAGATTCGAAACTAAAGAAACAAATACAGTGTATCCCTTTTTATGGAGAAAATTTGTTTTCGTGGTTTAGATTCCGTATCACTGAACAGCTTTACTATGAAATTGATGTGGACAGAATGTGGCATTTTACACAATTAGCAAAATCTGAATTACTACAGGTGGACTCTTTCTACAACGAAATTCGAAGGATCAGAATAAAATCCGTTGTAGAGAAAATTTTATTGTAGAGCGAGTCCAACTATAGTTACTCAGATTTTGCTAATTATGTAAAAGGTCACATGCTGTCTCTCCGTCACCTGTTTCTGTTCATCAACATAAAATCTGAACCCTACTAACATGGGTAGAGAACCCTATTGACTGAAAGAATTCGTTATAACCGGTACAGAGAAAATCGTTGTAGACAAGATCGTTCTAGGAAGAGTCCATCTGAATCAGGAAATTAAGCCATCAGATTTGTTGATATGATATTGATGATCAATCTGATCTTTAAATAATGGAAGATACTTCAGTCATTCGGTCACTCCTCATTGCTGCAATAATTTATCATAGCGTAAATTAACAAAAACGTATTCTAGTGCTTGTACAGCTGGGGATTTAATTCACACTAAAATAGTTCAAGAATCGTCGCGTACTTCAGAAAATTAAGCATGAAGAATGAAAAGAAAAATGAGGTTATGTCTTCTGCAGATACTGGAGAGACTTTCAAAAATTGGTGGAGAAGGAGAACAGAGAAGATAAAAAGGGTTGTCTTTGCTTCGGTGATTGCAACAGAAGAAGGTGTGAGAGTCTCTTTTTTTTTTATATGTCGGGCTTTGGATCTACTCATTCATTTATTTTCATGACAGACATGCGGTCAGTGATGACACAGAAACTTCAAAGTCATCTTCATGCTCCAACAACCAACGTAGCTCGGATTCAATGAGACCAAACAACAGCGGCGGACAACAAGAACTTCAAACTGCCCCAGAGTCGTCTGCACTAACGTCCGTCAGCCCCATTAACAAGAGAGATACGGATCAAGCCAAATCAATGATGGTGGACACTGTAATGACGACAATGTCAACACCAATGGTCAATGTATCAACTGCGTCAAGCACCGTCATTTCTGCAACGCTGACACCAAAAGAATCTAACAGCTCCAGACAAAAGCGTAATATTCTCCAAGATATGAATGATGGCGGTGAGACAGCGCAGTTTTGGTGAAAATTTAATGTTCCTCCTTGTAGTGCAGGAATCACTAGCGCATTTCCTAAAAGTTTCTCGAAACGCGAATTTATTTTATTGATTTCATTTTAGTTGAATCTTCCGGCCTACGTTTGGCTTATGCAGTGATTTCCTCATTAGGATCCAAACGTCATCTGATCGTATCTAGCCATTTCTAATTACCTTAAATGTCAGAAATCGTTGCATTCACACCTACGCTTTTGTGCCCAGCCCTACGCATTTTTCACGGTTCGTCTTTAAATAAATGTCACAGAACTCATTTTAAATTTTGAGACACGATTTTGCTCTTCTGATTCGAAAACATTTCAGGCATCATTCAAATGACAAAGGGATGACTCACCGCAGATTGATGAAGTCCGAAACCATCCTCATCCGGATGAAGACCGAGCATATGAACCACCTTCACTCTGCTCATCACACTCGGTAGCACACTTTCATCTTCATAATTTGCCGACACTGCCTGCCAACTTCTGCGGTCAAGTCCCCACGTTCGCCGGATGGCATTTCGTGCGATCACATTGTCCACTGCTGACGCGACGAGAATCACCAACAATACAGATTCGTCGCAAAAATCTCCGACAGGCTCGTGCAAACGACGGAATCCCGGGAATCTGACCCCTGGGCTTTGCAGTCGAACAACGCTTTTCGTTGTTGTTGGCGTTATGTCAGCGATACGCAACACCGCATCATCACTCAGCACTATTGGAACCTCTTCATCGTGATGTGAAATAAAGACTTCGTTTCTCCGAGCAGGGAAAGGAACGACTATCGCAACGAAGATCGTTGAGAAAAATAGAATCACTGTCACAGCCACGAAAGCGGTCCGAGAAGCAGAAGAAGAAATCCGAAGCACGTCAGGTCGGAGACGGAACAAGGAGTGTCGGAAGCTGATCTTTCCGAATCTTCTCCATTTCGGTTTCACGCATGGATGCCATCGGATACCGAGGAATCTCATCGAGTATTGTCATTTGGATCACCTGAAATGGGAGATGTGAAAAAAACTTTCTGGCACGCTCTTGTTCTCGCAAATAAAGCATTGCAAATGGATAAGGAGAGACATAGAATGTCTCAGAAAATCACTGCTTGCGCGCTATAATATACTGTAGTTCGCGACTGAAAGATTCAACTTTGCTCTTTGTTAGTGTAGATTTTGCACAGAATTGTTCAGTTATATGTGTATAGCCCACAAAACAAGTTTCTCCCTGCTTTAGCTGAACATAAAAAAGTATAAACCCCACAGCAAACTAAACTGACGATATCGTACCTAATAAATACAACAACAAAATAACTTTTACAAACGGCATACATTGAAAAAGTGGCGGTGCGTGAGTGATGCACAGCAACCTTCGTTCACTTCGATCCGTTTATTTCACCCGCATAAGAATATATAAGATAAGAGGATGATAATGGAAGTTTAGAGCCAGAATTTCCAAAGAAACTTCACTTTTGATGGACAATCATTTGCGTGCAGTCCATTCACGATCCGAAGCACACAAAAAAAACGGTGGCATCGTCGGTTTATCGCGTGGGAAGTAAATTATGCGATGCGTCCATTATTCGAGGTACCACTATAATAGCTTGCTTCTATTGCGGGGTTTGGAAATCATCATCCTTGCTAAATTTTATTGGTACTTTATAGCCATAGAGTACTAATTCGGAATAATTCATGCCAAATCTCGAATGTATTTCAACAATTTTGGCCATGGGTCATCGAATCTGAAGCACCAAATTATACAAGCCCCACTGATTTCAACGTTCACTTACTGTATGGCTCAACAATCTGAACGCCTATAATACACACGCAAAACATCGTCCGTATAGTTTCAGATGAATGTACGGATGCACTGCTCTTAGCTCAAGCACACATTGCATACTGATTCCCGCGTTGAGTAGGACAAGATAACCACGAAATAAGTTCAATTTCATATCATGCTATCGAACTGTCGAAGCAACTGATCGAACAAATGGTCATGGGCGGAACGAAGGACAACATTCACCAGAGATTGTAACGCGCCGATGCACCGTGTATAATACACGCGAAGAAGCACCAAATGCCTTCGCCACACGAAACCCGCGCACGTACTGCGATTCTTCTCCTGCGCAACCGGGAACAGATCGAACTGAAGTACCGTTTTACAATGCACAAAAGCGCCACGAATGTACTGTAGTTTGCGTTTCGTAAATCGGTAATACTGTAAAAACTGTAACATTTCCCTTGGCGCCATGAAAAGAGCACTCCAAAAGAAATAGAGGACGAACGGATGAGGATGAACGCCGCGGGTAAGCTCAGCGATCAAAGCAGCACAACCAAATTCCTCCTCGATATGTAACTATGGAATGAAGACGTCATTCCATAGTTTCATAGTCAATCTACGGCGAATTCAACATGCTTTAAACTCATTCCATCCACTGTAAGATCCGTTACTCACAGCACACGAGCTACTCGAACAAGAACCACTTGTTCCCTGTTCTCTCGCCTTCTGCATGCACGGGTGAAAATCGGTGGTAGCGCGAGAAGGTTTCGCAAAACCACGCGAAAAAAAATACAACGCTTCCTTTCGCGTATAAATGGAAATATGCCAGCACTGCTGGGAATGATAAAACCGAATGCCTCAGCCTTGGCGGTTGGAAGGAAATTAAGCGCGGTTCTCCAGCTCAAGTCACGTCTTTGTGAGGAGCCCAGCTGTTGCTCAATACACTTGCATGTTTGCCAAATGACCAGGCTGGCAAGAAGATGCTCCACTCTCGGCCCACTCACAACCGTTGCACTTCTCTCAGTTCCGGAACGGAACGTCCAACGGTTCCACGTCCTATTGATATTCCATTCCACTGCTGATGATGCGGTATATCTACCCTTCAGATCGAAAACGCGTTCGCATGCGTGACTATAAACCGGAACAGAAGTTTCGGGATCATTACTTCGATAATCTACCATTCAGTGTTCTTTACATCACAGAACTGGCGCATTTCACGGTTTAGACAAGCGCAAACACAGAGGCTAATCGATTGCACGGAATATTTCTTTCCCTGATGGCTAAGATCCACCTTCCAGGGTACGACGATGAGCCAAGTGACTTTCACCGCGGAGATATGATTCATGCTCTCCGTGCTCCATCAGAGCGAAGAGAGTCTTACCTGTTTGTTCTATTGTCCCACCTCTATACTAGTTTGACCACATATGGGTTTTCCGCATATGAGAAACCTCTTCATGACATTACTGCACATAGGGTGCAGCATATGCCAATTAGAGAAACTCGAGAAGTCACGACCGATTTACATTACAGTATAATGTGAGATCTTCTTTCCTTATAACAGTTATAAGGTATACACTGCTTACTTCAAGTCTGAGATTTTACGTGCTACGCCATCTCTCTTCCACTTTTCTGTCTGTGGAGCTTTTGGTGTGAATGGATGTCACTCCTCTTAAATGAAAAATGGGCAGTGTCAATAGTGAAAGACTGATACTTTATTTCTATTTACTCTATGTCTCTTTACGAATATCGTCACTTATTGTCGACAAAGTCTATTAAATTTCGGCAATGAAAGATGCAAATTTTCCCAAAACTCCCAGAAATTCGCCAAAAAAAATCATGGAAAAAATCTTGGAAATGGATAAAATTCATGGTACAGGTATTAAGACTTTCAAATAATCGGGTCTGGTGTTTCCGCTGGGACCTTTTAAAAAATTAATTATAATGAATTATTTGTAATACAGTAACATAATTTCACCGGTATAGCTGTTTCATGAAGAAGAAAACATCCCTGCTCAAACAAACATTTTGGTTTTTTTATATCCGCATGTGTGATTAAATTTACTTTTTACAGTATAGTGCTTTTTTTACATATACTGTACTGTATGTAATAATCAAAGTCAGTCGGAACCAAAAATAATCACCGTCAACCAAATAAGGACCTTTCTTGCAATTGTTTCATACAGAGGAAGTAGTGCTGCATGTCTTCCTTCTGAAAAAGAACATTCATATGCAGTTCCTTCAATTATAAAACTGCAAGAAAAAGCAATCATGCATTGACCTATATGAGGGGAAAGGGCTCTAGATGAGGTTCAACCAACAGGAAGCACCAGCGTGACTTCACTAATCTTCATACGCTCCGGTCTGCTGATGCGAGTTGATGCTGTCCGGATTTCCGGAAACGCGGGAAAATCTGGTTCATTTTGTCACTTTGATGGAATTTCAAAGTCTTTTCACTGGCTTTGCATGATACTGCAGATGATTGAAGGTTAAGCGTTTCATTTTGTGTCAAAGCTGGATAAGTCACTCATATGTATGAACACGGTTTGCGAGGCACCGAAGCAAGCGAACAGCAAAACCCTAGCAGAACAAAAGTAAAACGTTGAATGCTCTACTTGTCTACTTCACATGAAAAGAAGATTGCCTGTTTCAGCAGTTTAAACACGAGTTTTATGATGAAGAAGTAGATTATTACTGCATTTCAGTGTATTCCGACAATACATCATACTGTATTTAAATGCAGAGCTTTTACTAATCCATCAGCCATCGAAATATGACTGTATGAAAGAAGAAATATTCCGTGCGTACACCGCGGAAAAAACACGATTTTAGTAGGAATTTTTTGTAGCCTTTCTTAGTTAATGGAACATTCAATCAGAAACGTCGCTGTATTAATCGCCGAAGACGCGAAGCTCGAAACAGCAGCTTCCGTGATGATGTGAAAATGGCAACATGAACGCGGGAACAGCAGAATTTGACGCGAAGAGCACAAGCTACCCACACATTTTCATATCGCCACGATTAGGTTTCATTTGCAAAAGCTAGGTGTCGCTCAATTCCTTCGAAAACATGATTCGTCTCTTTTCATCAAGCACTTCACGCTCATTAACGTTGCCCAGTGAACTGCGGTACAGCATTGAGTTTCGATTTTTTTTTCTTCAGAATGTTTTTAGGTAGAGGTTCATAAAATCATTGCTCAAAAATTTTAAATATCGGTTCTTTTTTTTT